GAGTTGCCATGGACTGTCTGATGAAGATGCTCTAAGGCTGGCCTTTTATATGTACATGTAACTATAACACATGTGGAACGCTCGATCTGGACAAATTCGGCTGTCTTTGCGGACACCGTGGTCTCATCTCGATGTCATCGCACTATAATACGATGGCTACACGACGGAATTGTAAGGGCTTCATGTTGTCGTGTGGCCTTCCTAAGACATTCGGACAGCTTCTTGTTTCCTTCGTATTGCCTTTGTGAGGCGACATATGCCTGATGGCACCAAAGATCACACGAAAAAAGACGAAGATGACACTAATGGAGATGCCTTCATGACAGTCTTACGAAGGGCAAAATTGACATACGAATCCAACACGAAAATGAACCTTTGCAAGGTCTTTCGGAATTTTTTTGACATGCCCAAGATTTTGCACCGCTTTCAAAGTTGCTGCCGGAGCCTGAAAACTCAACCAGTGGTCATACGATGATTTATGATGCCCTCACGAATGGCCCGATGTTTCTACTATCAGACCCGAATTTGAACATTTTCTTTACCGTGTGTCTATCTGGTGTCAATGTCGGGGCAGTGTGACGCCTGCATTTAGCAAATGTTTATTCTTGTTTCATCGGGAATCGAACACTTGCCTCTGTGAAATCGTGGAAAAACCGACTGCACAATGTCCAGTGCCCTATACCAATGGACCAATTAGGTTATTTAAAAATATAGCTTTCGTTAATCGAGTAATGCATTTCCTCGTCGGCTTTATCTAAGGTTGTAACACAGTACATGATGTGTAGTGTCAAGAAGATGGTGTACCTTTCGGATCAGCTATGTTTTGTCTGTCGTAAAGAGCTATAATGTTACTTACCATGCCGTCACAGCAACATTAAATTTATCATATACCGTATAAACATGTGACAACTTTACGACAACAAAACAACACAAGGTATCGATGTAAGAATACTGGCGGTTACTGAAAGCTAGTTCTAATCCAATGTTTACTTATAAACTAAACATGTTTTCCAAGACTAAATTATCAAGCAGTACAGTTTGCGAACATTCTGATAAAAGCATGTCCTTGTGAAATGTCAAAATAACATGATGAAGTATTAAATACCAGTCCTGTTTGATATAAGTTAATTATAATATTATAATATTATTACATTATTGATATTATTTGCCAAATATTTTATGAAAGCCAAGGATGTCACATAATGTTGTCACTATGAAATATAAGAAAAGATTCGAAATACTTAAGAAGGATCTTTACTTCATGATATTGGAACATAAGAGAAATTAAGAGAACAGAACTTATTTAAGCTTTGAATATCGTTTTGAGCTATTTTGTGGAATACATATAGCCATCAGTGAAATTATTAACCATCTTTTCAACTGTGGAAAACATCACATTAATCACTAGTTGAATATTCTCTGTTAACATCTGTCTTGTCGACTATGTTATAACGGTTGGATTAATCAAACTGTGTACATAGGAATATCGTGATTAATTGGACACACTTGGATCATTAACTTGGAACATTCAGTTCGAAATGACTGGAACCAGTGAACTATACACTACCGATTTACTGTTCCAGGTTAGGAGCAGGGTTGGGCGCTCACACAGATATGTTTAACCCCGCCACATTCTTTATGTGCCTGTCCCCAGTCAGGAGCTTGTAATTCAGTTGTTGACATTGCTTCATGTCGGTCATATTTGTTTTTCATAATTGGTCTTGTATAAGTTTGGCCGTTAGTTTTCCCGTTTGAATTGTTTCACATGTTTCATGTCGGGACCATTTATAGCTTATTTTTTTTTATTTTTTTTTTTGTTGAAGGCGGTAAGGTCACTTATAATTGCTTTGATCTTCGTCATTTGAATTCTAGTGGAAAGTTGTGTCATCGGCAATCATACCACACAAACTTATTTTTAAAGGGTATTGAATTTTGGACTTGTTAGACATGCTTATCTGTAGGTTGATTTTTCGAAATTTGTAAATCATTTTCGAATCAGGTTTTCTTAATCCTAATCTGTGTGAGTGAGAAAGTTTTTCAAAACTGGCTTACTTATTATTAATTTTGAAGCTTATTAAGTGAATTCAACGGTTAAAATGATGTGTCCTGCATAATGATTTTTAAAAGTTCCGACCCAGGAGAAATAATTTATTGCAATTCGGGCATCATTTAAATTGCAAGTTAAGAAATCAATGATAAAAAATTTGAAATTTAAAACATGTTGTACAGTATTTTTTTGATGAAAAAGTATCATCTGTTCTTATACATCCTTGGCTTTCAAATATTCCACAATGAAGGTACATCTAGAAAGGCGCTTCGACCGCATGAACTTTATAAAGTGTTGTTTTAATTTTTTTTATCAGAATCCGCTTTTGAAATAGTCAAAACCTTTGGCACTAATCCTGTTAGATAGATTCAACTTAAAATGAAAGAATTTGAATTTGAAAAAGAACAAATAAAACAATACTAAAGGTAAAAGAAGAACAAAATTGATTGAAGTTAAAAGAATTAGAAATAGAAGAACAAAAAATGTTGAAATTAAATGAATTCGAAAGGTCAACTCAATTAGGTTAAACTTTGACAAAAAAATGCGGGGCTTTAAAATAAAAATGTTTACGTACAGTTAAGACAGATGATAATCAGGTTTAAAATGACCAGTTAGTGACTACGATCGCAAAGCCTTTCAGTTATAGTATTCGTTTAAACCTCAAATTTAACGGGCAATTAAAATGACAATGATTGTGTTATCTAAAGCAGTTCTCTAAAATAGAAGCAAGCTCTTCAGAACCAAACCAGCTATGTCATACACAATACGAAATTAATGCAATTATATTATTCTGCAGAAAAGTAAACTTCAACATTTGGAAACTATGTCAAACGGCCACTTTGACATATTAATTGTAATAAAAACATATTTGACGTCATCAGGCTTACATAAATCTGAAACAAGTAAGCATTTCTAAATCTGCTTGCTGAATGTGTGATGATTTTGTACCTTATATTAGATATAAGTTACAATTCGGTAGAAGCTTAATTTTACGTATTTGTATATACTTAGATAATACATAGAAAAGAACAAGATATTTTGCGAGTAAATCTTGGGTCAGGTCAAATAATTACGAAGGGTGGTTATTACAATTGAAACTCTTATACATGTTAGAGGGACTTTAGGGTAACGCCCCTTCTTTAAGATTTTTTGGATATCAAAGCAATTTATAATCAGGCGCGATTTCTTGCTTATTGTCATTTCGTCATAAGTCTGCGAAGATATAAGACCAAGGTATGGTACTTGGATATTTGAGAGTCTCTTATATACTATTACACATTGTTTTGTAATAAAAAACAGGTTGGTGTCTGTTAGAAACTAACGAACTTGCATATAAGTTTTAGCTGTTCAAGTTGTACCCTATTGAACAAGTGTTTTCGCTTGTATGGTACATAATTGTACCAAAAGGACAAGTTTGTTCCTGACTTAGGACACATTTGTACTAGTTATATATATATATATATATGATATATATGATATGTAGGGGGTAGAATAGTATACACTTTTTTACTGGCTATAATAACAATAGCAAAGTTTATTGTCACCGAGACATTAACAATTTCCGACGCGATGAGCATGAAAAAAGTTGATCTCGAGGAGATAAAAAACTTGCAATTGTCTAAATAGCCAGTAAATAAGAATTTTATTATACAGAAAGAAACTTGTATATATTTCGAGACAATAGATATAAGAAGATGTGGTATGAGTGCCAATGAGACAACTCTCCATCCAAGTCAAAATTTATAAAAGTAAACCATTAAAGATCAAAGTACGGTCTTCAACACGGAGCCTTGGCTCACACCGAACAGCAAGCTATAAAGGGCCCAAAAAATTACTAGTGTAAAACCATTCAAACGGGAAAACCAACGGTCCAATCTATATAAAAAACGAGAAACGAGAAACACTTATGAACCATATCAACAAACGACAACTACTGAACATCAGGACAGGTGCAAACAATTGCAGCGGGTGCACGTTTATTCTTTGTATACTGCCACTCTAACAACTGGTTCAAATGAAACATTTTGGGTAAACCATCATTTTTGAATTTAAAGAGGACGACGTAAATTCCGCGAGTGCATATTCTTAATTATACTTCTTAAAATACAAGATCCATAAAGACAAATTTCATTTTTTTTTAGAATGTAATGAATATGTTGACATTAGGGGAAATTATATCAAACAATATCATTGGAGAGACCCCTCCTCTACTTCTAAATTGATACAATTGTTATCTGTACAAAATATCAAAGAACTGAACAATCTTGGTAAATACCTAAAAATAGCAGAGAAACGTTATTAAAATCTTGCTGCTAATTTTGAACATTTTTATGTATGCCATACTCTGCGTTATACTCGTTAATGTATTATGTATGAGTGATTTATTGTATTTACATCTAGTTAAAATTTCACTATATGTATGTTTATGTGAAATGGTGCATGTATAATTAATTTGTCAAACATTGTATATATCATATAAGCTGTACTTGCTTTTGGAATAAGTGCATTAATACATGTAGCTCAGTTGCAGTTTAAACAGTCATTCGGTAGTCTCTGGCGATGAGTCAATTCAAACGATACAGAAAGTACAGGAAAAAGACTATCAATGGTTAATAGTTTTTGAACTATTTACCGGTTAATAGTCTTTGTACGGGAAATTGTTTGCCTCCAATAAATAATTCATATCCATTAAATAGTTTTTGAAACTATTAACCGGAAAATAGTCTTTTTCAAACAATTTCGTAAAAATAGTAAATTTATTCGTCTATAATTATATACAGAAAATACATACTGAGGCATAACAAGTATAAAGAGTTTATTATCGAACGCAAAAAGCAGTTGTACATATTTTTCATTAATATCAATTTGAGAATAAAGTTTAATTGTTGGATAATTTGTAAAGAGAACATTTCTGGTAATGGAACTTGTACATAATAAGAATAAACACGCTTACCATGTGTACACGTTATATAATTTGTTGGCTAGCGGTGGGATCCAAATTGTTCATTTGTACATTCCTTGTGAAAGTTTATATCCAAATTGATCATCTCATGACTTAATATCCAAACTGTCTCATCGTGAGAATTAATATGTCTAAATTGTTTTGCTCCAATCGTAATAGACGTGTTATGAAATGGTATATATTCGACGCTGATGTTGACAAATTAGACTTTGAATGCGGGTATCGTATCAAAGCACAAAAATGATTAAAAGATTTAGATTACCTGTGTATCAATTGAATCTTGTGTTTAAACCGCATAGTATTGATGTCCACGTATAGGTGTTCCTTATAACAGACGTCCCTTTGAAAACTTATTATAGACAATTTCGTTTTATAAATATTACTTTTGAACAAATATTTCATAATAATTATTTCGTGGGTAATACATAGCATTGACGGTACCAATTTTCTGGACCGGATGCGCATTTTGGCAATAAAAGTCTCTTCAGTGATGTTCGAAAAAAATGATAAATCCCAAACTATTTCTTCCTATTGGAACACTGACAGGAAGCAAGGGTATTATAGAAATCAACTTATTATATAATATGATGAAATCAAGCTGGCGGGCGAGTGGACGTGCAAGCGAGCGGAAGAAACTGGTACCCGTTTTGAGTGATAAACTCCTAACATAGGCGCTTTTAAACCTTGCACGTTGTATGTACATGCATGTACTTAGAAAATATCCAACTCTTTTTATGAATTTTTTTTGGATAATTTGCTAGGTTTTTTTCAGAGGTTGAAACTTTGTGAATTTTAGGCAATTGTACATATAACCAACATGACACCTCTTTGGCCTTGCTAGCCCTAATTAGAACTGGAAATGATTTTTTACATAGTAATCTGTTAATACCTACTCTGCAATTGCTTCATGTCCCTTATATTATTTTAATGTAAAATGTGACAAGATTGACCCATTGAAATAAGGATCTTTGGAAAAAGATATCCTATACATATTCATGCAAAGTTTCAAAACATTTCTCATTGTAATTCTAAGGTATGAAATTTTCTTAGTTATAAGAAGATGTGGTATGAGTGCCAATGAGACAACTCTCCATCCAAGTCAAAATTTATAAAAGTAAACCAATTTAGGTCAAAGTACGGTCTTCAACACGGAGCCTTGGCTCACACCGAACAGCAAGCTATAAAGGGCCCCAAAAATTACTAGTGTAAAACCATTCAAACGGTAAAACCAACGGTCTTATCTATATAAAAAACGAGAAACGAGAAACAGTTATGAATCACATCAACAAACGACAACTACTGAACATCAGATTCCTGACTTAGGACATGTGCAAACAATTGCAGCGGGTTTAAACGTTTTAATGGTACCAAACCTTCACCCTTATCTGAAACAATAGTGTAACATAACAACATAGAAAGACATATTAACACCAGTGAACATACACGGAACAAATAAATTTGATCTATGATACAATGAAAATACAAAATAAATAAACTAAGGGATGAATAATTAAAGTAACATGCTATACCGCTGTGAAATGTTAAACAATTTAAGAAAAACAATATGCTTGAACAAAAATATCAGCCATTTGCAATTACTTTAAACACAGGTAAATGAAAATTACCCGTTTGACCAGCCTTTCAAACATTTATAAAATTCTCCCTGTCATATACCATCTAATGCATGTATGTAAAATGTGACTCGTTGCCGGTTTAACATCCTAAATATATATTACTGCATTCTCATTGAAGTTTCTGTTTATGCTGCAAGTGCACAAATAGATGCTTAGAAACCGATTCTTTGTGAAATCTATGCACTAAGTAATTCTTAGTCGAAAACAGAAAATTGACGACAACTACGTGAAGGGTGGCATAAAATGCCCACATCGTTAGCGGCAATTGACAAAAATTTTCGTACCATTTCCAGACCACACACGGTGCCTCGGGCACAATTTTACTCCAGATAACGGCATTCCATACCTACGCAGGTTTTTGTAGACAATTGGAATCATATACGATTCACACGCAGTAGTTTCCTAGGACAACAGGATGATGCCCAACAGTTTAATTTACTGCCTTTAATTAGCCAGATATGGAATTAGATTTCCCCAAAGATTTTGTCATTTTAGGTAAAAAAAAATATACCGCATGTCGTTCTCCGCTCGTTACCTTTTAACGGCGTCATAAACTTAAAGCTAAATGTAGATCAAGAGCAGAAGGAATAAAATGTAAAACATGAACTTGTGATTATCGTCCGGATATCGGCTATAGATGCGGAACACGCTATTAGGCGCTCAAAAATTTCAAAATTAATATAAGCGTATGGAGACATCCGAAAAAAATCAACCAGTCTGTAGAGCGTTGTGCGGGTTTAATAGAGATTGATTGATTGATGTTTGTTATTCGTCCAGTGATAAATATTTCATGCATTTTCGGGACAAAATCTATAAAAGCATAGTTGAAAAACCATCAACCCCTCCCCCCGAACACCTTTTCCGTCCTATTATCACAAGCAATAATATCAGAAAATGATTATTCTAAATCTATCTAATTTTAAATGAATCAAGAAGTGTGTATGATACCAGGTTAACGTCATGCAAACAGAATTTTACCTGTTTTAATCGATAATTAATGTTTTGACACAGTCCCCTCATTTAAAGTCTAATAAGTCAACCTCAGCGTCGAGAATATACCTTTTCGTAACACGTCTAATTGTAAATTTTATATCAAATGTATCCTGTTCACATTTTGAATTACACACTTTAGTTGCATATAGTATTTACCTTAGCCTAAGAGATTAACGATCGATAGCGGCAGATGCAATACCTTGTTTGATTGAAATTTATTATATTGTTGATGCATGCATAAGTCATAAATTAAAATGCAATAATGTCTTTTGACGATGAATTGACGAGTTGACATAACAAATACAAGATATTGAAGGGATAATGTACAGACAAAATTTAGTTGTGTCCAAAAGATCAAGGTTCAAAAATGTTTTTGTAACAAGAACTGATTCGGGTTAGGGATCAACAGGGTCCTTAATGTCCACAAAGGGAGATAACAAAAAAGGTGATTTGTAAACATACTCACAAAAGTGTCAAATTTTCTTACATTGAATTAGAGAAAGGGTACACTTTGCCATTACATTCAGATAACTGTTTTGGTTGCGATGTTCAAAGTGTTAATTCTCCAAACAGTGAAAAGACAAAAATAACTTTGGTATAAGAATTAAACCCTCTTAATCTGAAGGGACTATTTGTCAAATTTTGAAATGTATGCACTTATAAATAATTGGTTGGAGAATCAAAAGGGTAATATTTGGCGGAGTCCTTGAAGATTAACCAAGTGAGAAAAGACAAAAGTTTTCTGATTTAGTCAGTGCACTGGAAGAATGATTCACGCCTTCCAGTCAAACTGAATAATACAGAGTTCAGTTTAAGGAACGACACCAAAGAGCCAGTGAATAGCTTCTTGAATAGGTCAAGAATTGGTCTTCTTATTTCAAAACAGAAAATACTTGTAAGCAACATCTCCGTAAAAATGAAGATGTGCTATCCCGTTTGAAATAAGTTTCCTACAGGTACAACCAAACTTCAAAACCAAATCTTTATATCTATGAAAGAATTTAGTAAAGGTTTTAAGTAATTTGTGGTAACGAAATCCCTGACTTAATAATTTACCAGTAATACATAGATAACGTTCATTGCAATCCAAAACGTCACAACAGACACGGGCATAGCGAACGAGTTGTGATATATAAACACCGTAAGATGGTGCCGAAGGAACAAGCCCTTTCCAATTTTTACAGTTTGTATTTTTGGTGTGCTGTTACAACGCTGTCCCAGGTTTCGGGGAAGGTTGAGCGCTCCCAAACATGTTTAGCCCCTTCATATCTTCATATGAAGACAAAAACGTATAAATTAGTCAAAATCGTCATTTAAGAGACGTTACTCCTAAAAGGAGTCATCCAGTGGTTTCTGTCATATAAGCATTTTTGTAGATCTTGTTTTGCCGATCATTTTTACTGTTTCGGTTTCTATCTGTCTGTTATAGTTTTCATTGGTTCAATTATTTCGATATCATTAAAATTTCAAGAAATCGTTTCATATGACTTTAAAAATAATTCCTTAAAGATATATCGAATACGTGCATTTCAAAATAGTTCTTGATATTTCCTTTTTCTTTAAAAATGAAGATTAATATAAAATCGACACATGCGCAAAAGTTGGTGAGGCGAATTAACTAATTATCTAAATTATTTATTATAGTGACATGTGTTTTCGACAAAGAGTATATAATACAGCGAAAATAAAAACAATCATTAAAACACCCGACCCTTTGGGCCTATAAGTCACTTACAATTAAATGTCAATTAATGGCACGACGAACAAAATAAATTAATTTCGACATTTTTCATATAAAAAGTTTTTCCTCTTCCTGAATGCTTGCAATTAGATATTTAGCAGTTTTTTTCTCGGATGTTGACATGATAAATATATTAACTGTTCATCTTTTGATAATAATAGTCTGTTATTAAAAAGCAATACAGCTTATAGAATTCACATGTACAAATATAATAGCATCAGTGATTAATTACATATGTGTTTTACAATTACAAGTGGTCTAAGTAGTTACTACTGTAATCACTAGCCAGTCAACACTGAGGTTGTGAGTTCGAACCCCGCTCGTGCGGGTGCACTCGACTCCAATCTTAATTGACTAGGATTGTCAGTTTTCCTATCGAAGGTCGGTGGTTTTCTCCGGGCGCTCCGGCTTCCTCCACCAATAAAAACTGGCCGCCACGAAATAGCCCAAAAGCGGTGCTTAAAAGTGGCGTTAAAACACCAAAAATCAAAAATCAAATCATCGACGGAGAATGACAACAAATAATATAAATAATGGAATATGAGCATTATATTATGAATAACGAATCTTATCAGCTAAATAAAGGTATTTGCCTAGATTGTTAAGCTCTTTGATGTTATGAACAGACATTAATTGTATAAATTTATAACAAGATGTTTTTATTTTTCCAATAAAATGAGTTCATATATGTTTTCCTTATATCAAAATATTTGTCACATACTAAAAAAATTTTTATAAAAGGAAAAAATATAAAAACACATTTTATTGGAAAAAAAACATTTTGTTATAAACTTATACAATTAATGTCTGTTCATAACATATATATTTTCAA